TGTGGGCGCAGTGTGGGTGGAAGGAGGTGGCTGTGGTGCATTGTAGTTGCATTGCATGATCCTGAATCTGAGTGCAATGTCTCTGCAGTGCAGTACAGAGGCCTCTCCGGTCTGCACGCACCCGCTACACACCTCAACACCTAAAACAGTCCGTCGCTCTGAGAATCAGTAACACAGCCGCTGCTTGATTTCTGCCGTGCATGCTGGGTTGGTGGCAGGTGATGGGGTCAGAGTATGGCTGCTCAGATCTGCCTCTCGTCTCTTTTCCCAACTTTCTGATCAATGTCATTATAAAATGTTAATGATTTCTTTATTTGTGGTTGTTCTTAAATGATCCTAAGGGGGTGGAGCTACTTCTTTGTGATCTGCTGCTGACATTAAGGACCAGTTTGTGGCAACGAGGAGGCAGCAGTAACGGAGAACCGGTTCCAGCTCCCGGGTCCCAGCTGGCCGGTTTCCAGAGGGACCTGAGCGCCCTCAGGAGGCTCACACAGTGCTACAGACAGGCACAACACAAGGTACACAGGGCTTAGATTAAGCGCCATCAGCTCATTCCTTCCTGAAGGAGAGATTTGACAGAATTAAGAAGTAGGTTAATGACATTTGCTGAAAATTAACAAGTTATCACAGCAGAGATTTATGCAAAAGATTAATCTCTGTTCATGATTCCACAGAAGCTCAGTTTCTGCTTCTTAGTTCAAATTTAATTCACTACAGATCAATAAAAGCTTCTCTGTGTGCACAGGTTCTGATCTATTTCATCTCCCCAATAAGAAATAATAAAACTCACACTCCAGGTGGATCTTTCTCTCTCTTTGATTCTGTTCTTCCCAGGTTTTCCTCCATGAGACCACAGTGAGGCTGATAGCTGGAGCCAGTCCAACAAGGACCCACCAGCTGCTGGAGCACAACCTGCGGCGCAGGACGCACAGCTCCTACTCAGCCGGTAACTACTTATTTAGATATCAACTACAAGCCCACACCTCAGTCGAATCCTCAGGGCTGTGGCTCTGACTGCCGCTTTTAGTAACTCCTCTGGGATTTTTTGTTTGTTTTTTTTTTTTTTGCTGTTTGTCATTTGAAAACATGTCAGGTGATGTTTAACAAAAAAAAAGTTTAAACGCAAAGCAGTGTTAAAATTGTAAAATTGAAGGAAAAAGATGCATGCTTGATTTAATTTCAGGATAATCTCATTTCGATTTGTTAGGTTGCAGGAAATCAATGCATCATTAAGACAAAATAAACAGCTAACAGGTTGGGGAGGAAATTATGGAGTTTAAATCACAGTTAGAAGCTTTGACAGAACAAAAAACAGAGTTTTATCCTGTTTAAAGGTTGCTAAAAACCATGCATGTTCATCGCTTCATGTGAGAACTAATGGTGCATATTAACCTGAACATCCCTAGCTGTGGCATCATCATCCGTTGGGGATGTTTTGTACTTTTGAATTTTTATAATTTAATTTTTTTTTTTTTTTATATTTAAAACACATTTATCATTTTATTTCTGCCTCAGCTTTCCTCTGGTTTGTGTTGGGACACAAGAAGTGCAAACATTTAAATTTGTGGTCATTTATTGAAATTCTTGTTGTCACCTGTAATAGATGGCGAGTGCGTTGTGGGTGAGAGGGAGAGAGCTCACGCCATTCTCCTCGCCTGCCGCCACCTGCCCATGCCTCTGCTAACCCCCCCCGGCCACCGAGCCCGCCTGCTGGCCGAGGCCAAACGGACGCTGGAGCGAGTCGGGGATCGCCGGTCGGTGCAGGACTGCCAGCAGATCCTGCTGCGCCTCAGCGGAGGCACCACCATTGCCGCTTCCTGAAGGCACCCGGTGCAACAACCACCTCTGTAACTTTGCCTTCATGCAAAGACTAATGTTCTCATGGAATATTGAAACAGCTGGTCATTGTTGGACATACACTGAGTGAAACGTGGGATCACAACACACTTTTTAAATTCAACCCTATCTCAAATTGTTACAGTGCTTTGACTCCACCGTCTGGCCTTCTGGTGGTACTGACAGCCTTCCTTCAAACTGACACTCATTCATCAGCCATATTCGGACAAGCTAGATCAAAATTTAACTTAATCTTTTCCAGAAAAACCCACAGACTGCTACAGTGGAACAATCCTGACGGCTCCAAAAAAAAAAAAAAAAAAAGCGGGAAAGGGACCATTAGCTAACCGCTGCTTAATATAAGCAAAGTAGGTTCGTTTTAAGATGAAGTAATGCAATCATTATGAGCTCTCACTAATGAGTGGCTGAATTACTGCTACACTTTCCTTTTAGTATTCCACAGCAGAGGAGGCAGATCAGCTTTTAGAACTGTGCAGTGCTGAGTAGTGTCTTTTTATCTACCTCAAACACCGTAGAAAGGCAGCACTGTACCATGGAGCAGCATAGGAAAATGACGCAGCAGTTTGCCTGAAATTTGACTTCATCATCTGATGCTGAAGTTTATTACAGCCCTCTAGTTATCTAACTTAGCTGGCCTGCTGTGCTCGGATTATGGGATTGAGCAGCACGACACACAGACAAATAAATACCATATTTGCAGAAAATGCAATCATATGTTGTTAAATATCAGAGGACTGGGAGTTGTCTGATTTTTAGAAGGAGTAACGTCTCAAAAAAAGTCCTTTTTAAACACAAAGGCAGAAATATGCAGACTCTCTTGCATTGAATACAGATAGAGTAATTGTATATAAGTTGTACATAGAAGTAGAGAGAAGATGATGTTCTTTGCGTCTTGAGACGATGCACATGCAGAACAGCACATTAGTGCGAGGTCAACTGTCCTAGCCTTCCAGTTAACGCCACAAACCGCTTTTATTCCAGCTTTAGGGATGTCATGGAACAGCAGCTGCAGTCGGCTTAGGCTGCCTGAGGCAAAAGCCGGCAGCTTAAAGCTTGTTTGGAGTGAATCCAGCTTTCTGTTGCATTCCTGTCCTCCAAACCCAAACCAGTCTAGGCTGCATATCCCTTTAGTGGTTCGTACACTTTTTATTTTATTTCCCTGGAAGTCAGGTCCAACTATAATGAGACGCTCTCAAGCAAAACACCCTTTATGTTATGTAAGAAAAAAAAAAAAAGTGAGAGAAACAGAATATTTTTTTTATGTTGTGTCAATTTGGAAAGATCAAGTCGTATCTTTTTGATGTCTCTGTTCAATTAGCTTTTTACCTGTAATTATGGACGTGATGCGGAGCTTTTTTTGTTTCTTTGCTCTGAATATCTTATTTAATGGTTGCGTGAGATAAAAGGCTTTTGGGGGTTAGTGTTGAGCTTTGTTATCATTTTTTTGTCTGTAAAATCAGCGTAAGGACAGGAACGATGAAAAACAAAATGTTTTTATACAAATGTAATCCCTTGTTAAAGTAAATTTTTTAATATACAAACTTACAGTTTGGAAATTTAAGGACTATATTGAGCACAAACTACTATTTGATTAGCACTGAAAATCTTTTACAGTGTGTATTTAGCTTCTCTGACTGCTAAACAAATAAAAAAAAAGGTGATGTTTTCGCTGGCATCATGCTCTTGGAGTTTTCTATTGTTGTAATTGTTACTTTTTTTGTTTTCCTCCCTCAAAAAGTCTTATTGTTTGAACTGTTTTGCTTATTTTGTCCTTATATTGTTTTCTAATAAAACAGCAGATTATTCAACCTGTGTAAAAAGTTACATTTTTATTTCAGTCTGGCAAATAGCGAGTCAACACAGAAGTATTTTGCAGATAAAGATTTTTTTTTGTAAACAAAGTATTCGTTCTCCAGCTCTGCTTTTAGAAGCTCACATGCTGAAATAGTGTTGGCACCCCTGGTTTATGACATAAAAACACTATAAAACATTGAGAATTTGAGTTTGTAACAGAAAATATGTGAATAGGTTTGACGTTATGAATTTCTTTGGTCATAGTGCTGAAGAGAAAAAAAATGTTTCCTCTCTATTACTGTGCTGGGTGTTGGCAGGTGTGAGTTTAAGCATTTATCTGATAAGAGTTTGAAACATTGTAAAGTTGGGTGGTATTTTTCTTCAAGCAATGCACACAGACCAATTTCATTAAACCATTTGAGTTCTTGACCCAGTTGGAGAAAAACTCCAGAAGTTTAGGATATGCGACACAGTTTATTTCTGATTCAGTAACAAACCTTAGCAATAAATCATAATGATCACACCACCACTAAAGTGTGAAACAGCAGCTATGGTATTCATGCATATATCCTGTTTTTTTCGAGGGAGGAGGGGTTGTGTACACTGAATGCACTTGTGTGCTTTTAGGCTAAATGGTGACCTTTTACCAGACGTTTTGTTGTATGTTAGGATGAATGTTCAGAGACCTCAGCAATGCTGAAATCTTCTTCCCATTTTCCAACTCATACATGTCCAATTTTATTAGAGGGGCATGACCTTTTATAATATAGTTATATATATTATTCAACATAGGCCTGTAGGGGCTGACATGACATTTTTTGCTTTCTAAAATAATGTCTCATAAACAGAAAAGGCTATTTAAGCTGTTATACATTAATGTGTTAGAGTGGTTATTTGTGCTGCATGCCATCTGTTTACCAGTCTGTAATATAAAAGGCTCTTCTATGGACTGAATTATTTTTTTTATAAATTAATAAAATTTTAAATGATAAAGGATAAACAAATGATAATAAATAAATGTGTTCTGCTTATATCTGTGCTACTAAAAAGTACAAAATGCATTTATTTAAGGATGGTTTATAAGCGTTCTTAAAAAGTTTTAAAACTGGTATATTTTGATTTAACTTCTTGCCATATAGATATATTTACAAATACAAATATTTACAAATAATAAAAATGCTGAAACATTTTCTATTTAAATAAATTAAGCACATATAGTTTATTCTTTTTTTATTTTATTTTTTTTACATTAAACACACTAAAAACAACATTTTGTAATTGATAATTAAGGTGTCGTGTCCGATTGGGACCACAAGTTAACGCGCGTGTTCCTCATCGGACATCATTTATTGACGGAACTCTGTGGAAACTCACGTGTTAAACATGAAAAACCCTAAACACAACAATACTGGATCAAAAAAGGCTAAATTCAAGCCTGGCTCGAAGAAAAGAGAAAATAAATGCGTCGTGACGTTTGACGACAAAGACAGACAGTGAGTAGTTGTGACGTTACGGTGAAGCTGCTAGCCAACTAGCTAACATGTTAGCCTAGCATCATAACAATATTTTCCTGTTTTTTTTATTTTTTAATATCAGCAGATGTGATTAGATGCGCGAAATGCGTGATAAATATGAAGTAACTCATTTCTATTTGGGTAAAGCCAGCATATTTGTTTATATTTAATCCCAGTAGTTGACATAAAATATCAGGCTATTTTGAACCTTTAACCTGCAACATACTCTTTTTAATTTGCTTAATGTTTTTGTTCCTTTTATCCTCTGCCAGGGACTATCTGACTGGTTTCCATAAGCGAAAACTAGAAAGAAGGAAGGCAGCAGTGGCAGAAATAAAAAAGAAAATAAAAGAAGAGCAGAGCAGAGTCAGAGAAGAAGTGAGTGTTAAAAACAAAACTTAAAACCAAAATTAAATCAATTAATGGGCTGGACTTTCTTTGACTCATATTGTATTTGTTTTTCAGCGTCATAAAGAATATATAAAGATGTTGAAGGAGAGGGAAGAGGCACTTGGTGAGTTTCAACGGAGATCTACAAACTTTAATGACTGTTTTTGGTCACACTTAACTTTTTTCTTTTCTTTTCAATGTTTTCTTTTGCAGATGATGCAGAAGACGAACTTGAAGATGCTGTGATCAGTACCACAGAGTCTGTTCAATATGATCACCCCAACCATACTGTTACCGTGACAACCATCAGTGATCTCGACCTCACAGGGGGTCACCTGCTCGCCCCTGTAACAAATGATGTAAACGTCCCTGTGGGTTTGTGTGTGACGTAGATTATGGGGTTATTGTCAGGCGTCTGACTTGGATTGCTCTGTTTCAAAGGCCGGTGAGGAGAGTGAGAATAAAGACGAGGAGGAAGCAAACAGGCACACAATGCCGAAAAAACCAAGGGATGTGATCATGAACAAAAAGTAAGTTAACTCCTCTCAGCAAATCCTCTCTTTTTTTTCTCAGTTATTATAAAAAAAAAAAGTCTAAATGTTGTAAATATTAGAGAAAAAGATTACTATGTATTAAAGTATATATAACCACAAATATAACTTACTAAAGTTGGTCGATTTATTCAGTTCCCTGCTCTGTTAACAAGCCTAGGATACGATCATCCTTAATGCAGCCGATCAAAGACAGTTGTGTGTTTAGGATTGACGGATGGCACTTCATCTGTTCCTAAAGTCAGGCACTGTTTAATGATGGGAATTTTTTATTTATTTATTTATTTTTTTTTGGACACTTAATCAGCTGCTTTTGAATTCAAAATGTCGGAAAGGCAAAATTAAAACTTTTATAGGTTTTAAAAGTTTTTGTGCAAATCGTACCTTAAGCTCCTGTCACACCTTGACGATTTAGCCAGCGTATGCCCGACTTACGAAAAATCTGGCAAAAACGCGTGGACATACGGCAAGTACGTTGAGAAATTTTGATTATGCTCAGGAAATTTTGAGCATGCTCGAAATTGCCAGCGTATGCTCATACGTGGGCTATAAGTTACAGATTAATTATTTGATCGTTGACATACGTTAAGTGTAAGTTACTCATAAGTGTGGTGTCTAGCTTATCCAAAACATGTGAGTAACTTGTGCAAGAACTTGCTTTAAATGCATATGAACGTATCTGACGTGTTCCATACAACCACTGAATGTGTTTCTAACTTACAGCCACTGTTTAATGGCGTATTGGCAGCGTTTTGGTATAAAAGAGGGTTCACATGAGGAAACTGTCTGTTCTCCAGACTTTATCCCCATCATAGGGTGGGCATGAAGGTGAGTGGGATGGATCCTCTTTGTGTTCACGTCCACAGGCACGAACAACAAAGTTCCTAGCAGACATGACACCGAATCTGCTGCGACTACAAACCCTCTTTTTTTTTTCTCTCTTTTTATATTTTATTTTATTTTATTTTTTTTGGGCTGGTGGTAAACTGCAGCAAGGCTAATACCGGGATCAAATAATTTTTTTTATGCAGGCCGGATGTCTCCGGACGCATTGCTGCCTCCCTCAGGACACTGGCTTGTTACATTTCATGGGCATTTATCCTGCCATACGTTATGCATAAGTTAAGCTGTGGTTTGACATAAGTTCTGGACTGGTTATGAAAACTATGTATACGCCTAAAATAAAAAAAATACATAGAAAGTTCAGCGTATCCCAGCATTTTAGAAGATTCTGGGACGTCAGGCATACGCTGGATAAATCCCCAAGGTGTGACAGGGGCTTTAGTACGAGCCATGCTAAATCCCATGGTGGTTAAAAGGTTTCACTGCTTTCTGCTTCAGACCCTGGTAGAGTAGACAATCACACCTCTTTCTTTCTTCTTTTGGTTCCCTGGTGACACAACTGCTGTGTAATTTAATCTATTTCTACCTGCCTGCTCTCAGTCCGTATCCGATCTTTTCGCTCTTCTCCCACTACAGGATCCGTTCCCTTACGACGGCACTCAGCACATGCACCAGCAAGCGGAAGAGGAAAGGGAAGCAGGAAGGTCGAGGTAGACGAGGACATCGGACCGACAAGAGACCCGGTGTCACAGAGGGGGTCCGCAGAGGTGGGAGGACCAGCAAGAAGCAGAGACGTAGGCAGACGGGGAAGAAGATGCAACATCTGGACTGAAAATTAGCCTCTAAAATGATGGGACATTTTGTAGTCAGTTTGTTCTCTTGTTTTCAAACAGAAGGATGAAGACGTTCGCCTCTACATTTTCTCAGTACTCTGTTTGGAGTTCATTAATATTTGCCTCTGGATATATCTTGTATTTTTGAACTGTTTTGAAGTTTTTTTTATAAAACAAATCTAACTTTATGAATAAATATGTCATGATTTTACCAGGAAGTGATGTGTCGAATAAAGTTAGTTTGTTCTCTTTGGGATTTTGTCCCTCTGTGTTCTATTGTTTAATTAGGAAACATGATGCTATAGTCAACATCCTCTGTGGTTCATCAGGAAACAGAGCCTCAGCTTTGTATTTCCTCTGTAATACTTTTTCTATGTGTGTGTAAATTTAAAAGGTCCAAGGTTCAGAGCAACCTTTATCTGTAATGTACATTAAACGCCCCTAACTGGCTAGTGTTTACTTATTTACGTTAACCCGAGCCGACACGTGCCAGCTGTCACCCCAGCGTTTCATTTCGCTTTCTACAGCCCATGATATTTAATACAACCTCCCCAATGAGGGAACCACTGGCTCCATGTTGGTTCATAGCTCATGTTTGCTGCAGGGACAGTGATGCGATGAATCAACCAAGGATGTCATGGATGCTGCAGCGTCGCCTTCTTCTCAAAGCAGCCAATAGGACTGAAGCAATGTTTTCTATTAGCCCAGGAGCATAGAGAGCATGGGGAGTAGTAGGCATGTTGGTGGTGGGGGTTTGATGACCAGTTTATCCACCAGTTCAAACAGCAGGAGCCTTTCTGGTATGGTAATAAATTTTTTTTATTATCCTCTGGCATTCAAAAATTCTTGTCTTTATTTGTCTTTTAAGACTTTTTTTTTTTTTTTTTTTAGAAACATTCGTTTTTGAACTTGAGAACATATGTGATGTCTAGCAGTCTTACTTTTTCTTCAGGTGCTTTGCGTATGCTCAGAACAAATATCTGCTCTTAAATTTTCTCAGCATGTAAAATCCTTTAATAGTGGATGAACTATAAAATTAATGATTCTTACTTTAGCAATGATGCACAAATGCTTTTTGCTGAATAGGAAACAAAGCAGCTACAGTCCTCTACGAAGCTGTTTATAAAATATTCCTAATTCCTCATGGGATGCACAAGATGATTCCTGATAATTTAGTTTTTTACTTTTTTAATGGAAAATAATTTTTTGACACCTGGAATGCAATGATCAGGGAGTCTCCCTGTCCAGAGTTGCCATGTCACACTCCAGCGATGAGCCCACATGTCCCAAGTTCCAACCCAATATCTTTGACCCCTCCCGCTGCCACGAGTGCCTGCGCCAGAAACACCTTCATACAAGTGTGGCGGAAAGAACCGAGCCACAGCATCAGGAGAAACCTCTGCCTCAGGATGGGGATAAAACTGAGAAAAGCGCTGGAGTTGGAAGGGAGGTCGGGTCGAGTGGGAGAGCGCTGCTGACGCCCATCTCATCTCAGGCAGAGGAAGGAGACACCAGCAGCAGCTGCAAGGTAAGAAAGGAAGCTGGGTAACCTGGAGAAGAGGTGCTCTGTGTAAAACAAGAACACAATGGGTGCTGACTGATTGGATTAATTTGGATTAGGGAACAGTCTGGCTGACAGAACTTTCAGGTCAAAGGTCAAGGCAGCAGAAAGGTAAAGGAGGTTAGATGAAAACAGTATTTTTTATTCTTGCCTCTTAAGATCTGACTTAGAAAAATATATATAGTTTAACCTTAAGGTCTGTTTTAAGTGAACAAAGGTGGCAGTTACCTTCATTTATAGCAGACATGAAAACAGACAATGAGATCATAAAGACATTTGCTGCTTTTTAGTAAAGAAAGAAAAATAAACAGGTCACAGCAGAGGTGATAACGTGGACCAAGGTAACAGCTGTGGCTCCTATTATAAATGAATGAGCCTGGATCAATTACTGGTCTCCAGGGAAACGGTAGCCTTTTAGAAAGAAGTGCAATGCAGAGTAAAAATTAACAGGATTAAAGCTTTTTACTGCCTTTGTTTCTTCCCTTGACTTTTAATATTGAAACTTCAGCCATTGGGATCATTTTTGTTTGTTTCAAGAACATTTTTACATTAATAAAGTATTTTTTTTTCTTTCCTGGAAGGCAGCTGTGTCCTTGAAGACAGCACTTTCTGGCAGAGTTTTTTTTTTTTTTTAGCATTTCAAGACAATGATGTAAGCAAAAAAAAAAAAGAATAGGATGTTGAAAAATTAATGAGGAAAGCCACAAGTCTGATCAGGTTACAGGCGTGTGACTCTAATCAAACAGTATGAACATGTGAGCGTCTGTCAGAGATGACTTGGAGTGGAATCTCTGTAAAATTCCTGGGGGTGTAACTCCATTCCAAACATCTACACTTTAGTGGTTCTCATAACTTTTATCACATCTGGGTTTAGACTGTTTTTTAAAGATTTGAGGATTGAGATCAATGTCATTGCAGCTTGGAGAAAGATGGGTTATTTTGCCACTTTGTGATTGGTCCGTTTCATTCCCTGTCGCCCTATCAGGAGGACTCTGACAGTGTTTCAGTGGTGAGCAGCTACTGTGATGTCAGCAGAGGTCAGGCGGGTAATGTGGAGACCTCTCTGTGCATCTTGAGCCCTGACTGCAAGCTCTATATCTGTGAGGACGACAACAGCACAGACAGGTAGGAGAACCGGATTATAACTGGAGGACATTTAGACAAGCTAGACATTTTAATTTAAGGTTTAATATGTTTGATTGAAGTATTCTAGTCATGTAGGGAGATCAGCTTAAAGTTAAGGCAGTCACATTAAAATTTTTCTGGTGCTTCTCACCTCTTCTTTGGTTGTCTTTATTTTGAAGTTTCACCATCCCACGTCTACATATGTCAATCTTCCAAACAGCTGTCGTGAGCAAAGCGAAGAGTTCAGTTGTTCTGTTAGTACAGACGACGAATACTTGCCGATTCGACGTCAACCCACCAAACTCAGGATGACCCGGCTGGACCCTCCACCTCACCGGCCCAACCCTCGGCAGGCCTGGATGGAGGAAACCAGAGGTGGAGGCAGCTTTTCTAGAGGCTCAGGTGAGATCAAAGCTGCTAGCATAATTTCTTAGGCTTTCAGATTTCAATGGAAAAGGTGCATGACTTGGAAGACTCTTGAGAAAAAGATCTCCTGATCTTCAAAGTTATGTAGTTGCGGACATTGTGTGAAGCAGTATAACCAGTCACCAGTACACCTATGACTTATTTTACTTCAAGATCAAGTTACTACCACAGGTGTCCTTTTCTCACAATCCCCATCTGCAGTCAGCATCTGAGGTGTCAAAGACTAATTATCAGTAATACAATATATACTCTACCGGCTCCTCTCTAGGTACACTGGTTTAATTCCTTGCTGTTAACCACATGACAGCAACTTAATGCCTTGAGAGATCTAGGTGTGGCAAAGGTGATGAATGCACAACTATGCCATGTTTAAATTAGAATGGGCAGAGGGGTTCAAAATGATGTCTAATCTATATTATCTCAATGTAGCCATTTTTGAATGGTACTTCCTGCCAAAAACTGTCACAAAGCTCAAATTTGGAGTCATTACAAATACCTGTATGATGTATAGTCTTTGCAAGGAAGTGCTTTGACTGCACCAAATGTTAGCTATTATTTAATTACAGTGCATTCCAGTTGCTGTTTATTGTGTCATAAAAGATATTTTTTAAAGGTAAGGATGTGGTAGATACCCTGTCCTATAGCAACCTTTCTATGATATTTAATTTTATGGTTGCATTCACCGATGTAATAACATACCACATGTTTTCTTAATATCGTGCAGCTTTACTCCCCAGTCATTTGATCCCAATTCAACAAACCACCTCTGGTATGAGGAGCAATGGGAGATTGTACCGTATATATATATGCACCTGCATGTGGCCGTCTCACCCACAGATACAAATATCACACACCTCTCAAGACTCCCATTTTTTTTAGTATTCTTTTGTGTGTGCATGCTTTTTTTTCTTTTGCTGAAATTTAGCTTGATATATTTTTTTTTAGAAACTAGCCAATCAATCCTTATTTCATTCTATTCCAGATGTAAAAGAAGATAGAGAGAAGCGTGAAAGTGGCTACTACTCACTTGGCAGGGCAGCTGGTGCCCGTTTTAATGAAAAAAGCCAACCTACTCCTTTTCGCCATTTTGAAAGAGGTCATCCAATCTTTAGTCACAGAAACATTGAGCCAAAGGATACTATCCCCTTCCGAAATCCCAATCTTGGAGTTGCCTCCGAAAGGCCAATACCAGACGTGTTCAGTGAGGACCTTACAGCAGATATCCCCCCACCAGACCCTTATGAGGTTGCGGTTGAGGTCGAAGCACAAGTAGGGCCTCGATCCCCCAGTCCTACTCCTTTTAAAATAGCGGAGTCGCTGGCCTCAACTGGCCGAAAAGGTTTAAGAGGTGGATATAATTCCTCAACGCAAGGCTCAGCTCTGCATTCTCGCTCTTCATCCCCATCACGGGAAAACTTGCAGTTAAGACACCGTGAGCCTAGCAGCATTCTTAACAGGACAAACTTTGATGGTGGAGGTTGGTCTCAAAGACAAATGGACAGATCAAGCCTCTCCATACAAGGTTCTCAAGGTCGACGTTTTGAGTCAGGAACTCTGCCAAAAAACTTCAAATCCTTTCCTTCTATGTCCCAGTCCAGTACAGTTTCTGATTTTAGGAATGCCTTAAGGAAAACGGAAGCAGATTGTTCTTTAAAGGGCACAGATTATGTGAAAAGGAGCTCATCTCCTTCAAGGAGAGAATATGCATCGTCATTCAAGATGTCTCCCAATACTGAAGTCAACACTAGTTGGACACATCGTATTTCCTCCCCATCCAGAACGTATGATCATATGCAGGAGAGTCGTACTTCCTCTTCCCCTAGGAGAAATCTGAACTCCTCAAGCCATTCCTTAGGTAGATCTGAATCCAACATATCCCTAAATGAACGAAGTCACCATCAACGTAGTGGTTCTCCGGTATCTTCTAGGCCACCCAGGAGTAATTTTAACTCGTCGAGCCATTCCCTCCGTAAATCTGAATCCATCACATCCCTAAACGAGCGAAGTAACCATCAACGTAGTGGTTCTCCGGTATCTTCTAAGCCACCCAGGAGTAATTTTAACTCGTCGAGCCATTCCCTCCGTAAATCTGAATCCATCACATCCCTAAACGAGCGAAGTAACCATCAACGTAGTGGTTCTCCAGTATCATTCAGGCAACCAAAAGGAAATTTAAGGTCAACAAGCCCCTCTTTCCATCATAAATCAACCAAATCAATTACATCTCTAAATGAGCGAAGTACCCATCGACGTAGTGGTTCCCCAGTATCTTCCACATTGCCAAGCAGAAATTTTAATTCATCGCGCCATTCCCTGCGTAAATCTGAATCCACTACTTCCCTCAATGAGCGTAGTCACCATCAACATAGTGGTTCCCCAGTATCTTCTAGGCCACCAAGGACTACTTTTAACTCATCAAGCCATTCCCTACGTCAATCTGAATCCATCACATCCCTAAACGAGCGAAGTAACCATCAACGTAGTGGTTCTCCGGTATCTTCTAAGCCACCCAGGAGTAATTTTAACTCGTCGAGCCATTCCCTACATCAATCTGAATCAATGATATCCCTAAACGAGCGAAGTAACCATCAACGTAGTGGTTCTCCAGTATCATTCATGCAACCAAAAGGAAATTTAAGGTCAACAAGCCCCTCTTTCCATCATAAATCAACCAAATCAATTACATCTCTAAATGAGCGCAGTCATCATAGGCGCTGTGGCTCCCCTGTAAGAGAGGGTTATGGGATAGAAGGCCAGGCCCAGCTGCGTAACCTAGCAACTAGAAACGGACTGATGGATCAGGAACGTGAAGTCACTGTTTCTTCATCTAGCCATGATTCTGATAGACCAAGACAATCCATACTTAAAAAGCCTGAGTCAAGCACTGTAAGCGGCAGTCGATCCTGGGGCAGCCGCTCTTCCTCTCCTTCAAAAAGAGGTCAGGAAACTTTTGCCCAAGGAAGGCATAACAGTGGTGGATCAGTAAATGGCCATGTTCATGAAAAGCGAAAATCTTCAGTTTCAGGGAAAAACTTTGATTCTACTTTTAAATCTCAGCAACAGAAGACAGAGACTGCTAGCTCCATTAGAAGCCATGACAATGAGAGTTCATTGGCTTTGAGGGGAACCCATTATGCTTCTGACTATCACTCATCTGGAAATATGCGAACTGGAAGCTCATTTAACAGCAAGTACCTACACACTAGCCGCACTCCCTCTCCTTCCAGAAAAGGTAATAATGACCCCCCAGGCTACTCCGTCCTTAGAAGTGCCACCAAAGGAGATGCAAATGGTTCTTTTGAGACAAAAAACACCAGTGGTAAATCAAAATATGACTCACATTCCTCATCACTCTCACAGCGAGGATCCACACATTCCCGCCACGGCTCCTCTTTATCTCGTGCTACTTCGCCATCCAGAAAATCTGTAAATAACAACAAAGATGCCCATGTTACATTAGAATCATCCAGATCCTCTAGCTCAATGAGATCTAGGATTGGTACTTATGGCCACGATGATCAACCTCTTCATGAAAAGAGGTCTTCTCATTATGCAAGGAGCCCCTCTCCATCACAGCAGATTCAAATGCACTCGTCATCGCAAAGCTCCATGGAGTCCACTGAGTCGGGCCAGGTCTCTGTTGGATCGACAGGACGGAACAGGGAGGAGTACGCTGCGATGGCCGACCTGCCAAAAGTCAAAATAATCCATCAGAGGGAAGGGCCAAGCCACGTGGGAAGGCCACAGAGTCACCAGCCTGTTCGAAGACAGGAACTTTTTAAACCAGCCAGGTCAGGCTCACTGTACACAAAGATGAAAAACTGTCTGTGTTTATTCAATTCATTTAAGGGAATGTTTAGTACAATGAGATGTTCTAACTGATATGATCACTACATTGTTGAGTCAAACTGTAGCTCACTTTAATTTCACTCCACCTTCATAGTTCCCTTAATTGTTTGCACTGATTAGGTATTTGTGCCATTTCAGTCACTCCTTGAGCAGACATCCCTCCATAGAATGGGATGGTCCTGTAGACGCAGAGAGAGATTGGCATTATGGGGGTGGTGGATATCTATCTCGAGCTCACTCCACTACGTCACTGCAGGTAGGCTGCTCAAGAGCGAGGTGAGTTCTATTAAGGGATAAAAGGCATAATCAATCACGTCTTCCAAAGGTATCCATGTCCCTTAAACATATTTACTTTTTTTATGTTAAAACCACAAACTTCTATGTAGTGTATTTTAATTTTATGGCATAAACCATCCCAAAATAGGGTTTGAATACCAAGTAATAGAATAATGACACATACATTTGAAACTTTTCAAATGTCTTCAAAAGACTTTGGACTAGCATTGTAGTCAAGACCACTGAATCAAACAACGAACACCAAGGCCATTTTTATGGTCATCACAGTAATGTAGCTTTTGCTACAAACAACACTTTAAAAAAGTCTGCCTGTGGTAACTCATTTGCAAGAAAAATATCATTGGTTATATTGTCTCAAAGCTTTGGTTAATCCATACTTGTATGTAGGCTGAACCTTAAATGCATTGCACTTGGCCTGTTCACTTGACAGGTGATAACAAGCTAAAGTGACGAATGCGCATATCCAGCTAAATGTTGCTGACATTGTTATAGCTGCAGGCTGAGTGAACGTGGGAGGCAACTGAACAAGGGGGACTCGATTCACTTAGAGTTCTAACTTTCTACATGTTTTATACACAGAAAAACATAAGTATGCACAGGAAAATGTTTGTCTTTAGGTTTTCCTCTCTCTTCATTCCCAAAGAAGAAAATATATTTGTTGCAGTTGAATGCAGGCAGGAATATTGCATAAGGATGCCTCAAAATTTATATTGTATGTTGGGACTTTGGTGGTCTGCAACACAGCTTGGGACTGTGTGACAATATTTTTTTTCTACCAAATCACAACATTAGGCTACTTGTTGTTTTTTTTCCTCTAACATCAAACCCATTAAATAATTAATAGAATACCACAAGAATACCACAAAGTTTAAAGACTATAAATACATTTGCGAGACATTTCCAGAGGGGGAACAGTGGATGGTTTTAGAGTAGAATAATGCTGGGAACTGAGCTTTTGAACCTAACAGTGGTATTTGTCCTTCATTAAGCACCCTTTCCTTTTTGCCCAATATAATCCACTGCAGTGGAACTGAACTTGTTTCTTGTTATTCCTCCTCCCCTCCCCTTTCAGGCTTGTTAATGCTTAACCCACATCTTTCCCATATGCCTAATTTAGAAAGAGTCTGTGAACGTGAAGCTGTGTGATGACTTTCTGTGTTTGTTTGTTCAGACATTGATTATTTTTGTAACTACAAGCTGCTCTTATCCAGAGATCAGGCAGTCCCACAGCAGATGAGGGCTGTTCGTGGAAAAGTAATCATCACAGATCAGAAGAAATGCAGGTAGGTGCTATAGCCCACATGTTGAGACTTTAATGTTTCTGAGTCGCCTCTGTTAAAACATATGGCACTAAATATATATAATACCAGCTATGCATGGAGTAATCCTGCAAACTCAATTTTCAGTTTATTACCTCCAACCTTGTATAGACAGATATTGTTTTACATATTCACCTATGCTCATGTATATCTGTGTTTTGATTTGGTTGCCAATGTAGGCTGTTGAAATACTAAACATGCTCTTGTTCAGTTTATGTCAAGCAGCTGTCTGCTCTGTCTCTGTCAGAGGTGTCAAGTAACGAAGTACAAATACTTTGTTACTGTACTTAAGTATACTTTTTAGGTATCTATACTTTACTCCATTACTTATTTCTCTTCCTACTTCTGACTTCTATTCATCATATTTTTAAACGTGAATCGTCTATGCTGGAGATCTTCAACAGGGGGTCCGCAAACCCAAGCGGGTCCATGGAGGTACTGCATGGGGGTCACGAAAGTTTTGGTTGATTAGACTTTTTTTATATTCCCCCCCTGCAATTTTTTCCACTATATGAAATGTCTTTAAATACACATTAACATGAATTCAACACACTGAAGTAAACAGATAAATAGAGGCAGAAGATGTCTTTCAGTCATCGATGCTCACATTCAGCGACACACAGGAGCTCTTTCAAGCTGGGCACCGTTTCATTCACAACACCTGTCTCATCAACAAGGAATTAGAATCAGATTCAGAAATACTTTAATAATCTCAGGGTGACATTACTTTCGTTGCATTACTCCATATGTAATATAGTGACTATAGAACCAGTTTCAAATAACACAATTTCATACAATATATATAATTAGGGGGTCTCTGCTCCATCTCGCTATGAGTTTGGGGGTTCTTGGCCTGGAAAACGTTTAAGACCCCTGGCCCATGCCATGCTACAATGTCAAATTCAGAAAAAGATGTCGAAATGCATGGGCGTAGGTTTGCATAGGGACCATAGGGACATGTCCCTACCAAAATTTTGGACCGACCTACTTGTCCCTACCAACAATTAGATGTGAATAACATGCTTATAATTTACAATAGAGCTTTGTTGCACCAATAGCGGGGTAATGGATGGAGAATATTGACAGGTGGAAACATTTTTTATCTAAAATGCAAAATATTGATATATATATATATATATATATTTTTTTTTTTTACAATTTTGGTATAATTCCTGCTCTAAGTGGGTCACTTTGTCAGCTGAAGACATGTTTTAGAGTGTCTATACTCCAGATAATGAATAATCGATTACTAAATTTGTTGACATTTCAATAATCGATTATTCAGATGAATTCTTTCAGAACAAGATATAATAAATGATATGGGTTAAATAAAGTAACTACAGCCTAGATGACTTGTAGAGTGAAATTAATATTCTAAATGCTCAGTGTCAGTTCCAGTGGTCATGTAGATACAATACATTTATTTGACATCCCTTGAATCTATTATTTTGCTTTGTTTCATGATACAGAGAGAATATTTAAAAGATAAGAGTGGGTTTTACCTCTGCACAATTGTATATCTTAAAGAAAATAGAGGATAAATCCAGATTTAACAGACATATTTAGACTTTATTTTGTTAAATACCCCCAGTTTTACTTTCTCTCTTAGTCGCTGGTAATTTCAAATGCAAACCTTTTCAAAGTAGAAAAAAGTCATAATTCCACATTCATCAGAGCCAGTGATGCTTTAAACATTGATAAACAGGATCTAGTGTGTGTAGCGCTTATAAAATTAGTAAAAATTTAGCAAGAAATGCTGCTTTTCTCTTTAAACGAAATACACCGATTTTCACGTCAAGCATAAATAAACAAGCATGCATATTTTTGTATAGGACCAATGACATCAGACCAATAGTGTCCCTTATCAAAGCTGAAATCAAACCTACGGCCTTGTTGAAATGTCTGAAAGGTCGGACACAGGTGAGAACGTATCAGGAGATGGAGACCAACAAGACCTCCCTCATCTTCGGCCCTATTTCAAAGAATTTTTCCATATAGTCGAGTAATTGAGCTTTTAATTCACATAGTGGCATCTGGCTGTTTTTTTTTTTTTTTATCAAAGGTTACTTTATACTTTTATACTTTAAGTAGTTTTTGGACCACATACTTTTTCACTTTTACTTGAGTAAAGAGGTCGAGTTGATACTAGAACTTTTACCAGAGTGTTTTTAAACTGCAGTATCTATACTTCTACTGAAGCAACAAATGTGTGTACTTTTGACACCACTGGTCTCTGTAGGTTTTACCTACACCCTACAGACATTTCATAAGACTGACTGAGCTTTGTCAGTTGTGGTCTGCTGGGGCATGTGTTGAAATTCCTGAAATGAAACCAGTAGCTACAGAGGGTGGATTTTACAGAGGAGGGGGGGGCATTTCAATTCCAAGCTTAGACCATCCGGAAAATATGGCTTGGCTTATTTTAGGCGTTTAAAAAAAAAAAAAAAAGATGATAACCAATGGTTTTCCTTGTCAGGAAGATGTATTGCTTTTTGAACATATTCTCTTGCAGTGATGAACTGTTTTAGTAGGTTTAATCTGGATTAGATTATTATTATGTGGCCTGTTAGGACCACGGTCTCCTCATTGGGGTTCCTCTGTTAGATTTTGAACAGATCCACTGCTGGGATCTACGTGTTTTCTCTAACGATCTTAGCGGACCCGCCCAGGAAGTGGCAGACAGCAGAGACAGCAGCGAGTAAACGACGCACTGAGCGGTGGCACGAGCTCTCCCCGCGTATCAGAAAGTTTACAAACGCTTACAGTTGACCTGCCTGCAGCGTTTATATCGACATTCAGCGGAACATATTCGGTTTCTTTCACAGTTCGGCCGCTGTGGTTCCTGAGAAAGTTGCGACTCTTTCCGTGGGGTTAAAATGTGGATGAATGGCGGGGTTTTATCCGAATTTGTGTAACGTGCGCGAGACAGTAAGGTGCTTTCTGCACGAGAGGTTTAGCTGAGACGAGAAAGAAAGTTGTTCCTGTGGGGATTAAACATTTTGTCTCTTTTTTTTTTTTAACCTTTCTGGATAATTTTATCATGACGGTAAGTTGTACTCTTTAAAACAGATATGCATGCGGAAATCTGTGTGTTGTTTTCCTGTCTGTCTATCCTTCCTGAATTAATATCTGTGAAATTAACTTTTAACTCCGAAGTTAGCTAGCTTGGCTAACTTTTATTCAACTTTAACGTTCTTTTAGCTTTAGTAGCTAGCTGTATTTCTGTCCCGGTACGGTTTGACGCAAGGGGCGTGTTAAAAGATTATACAGCTTTCTGGCGAGGCTATGTTTTTCTGTTTCTGTGTCTCTTTTATCGTTTATGTGTGTACAGTAGCAGGACGTTATGATTAGCCGTTCATACATACAGCCGTGGCCGCATTCACGGCCAGCTGTGACAGATGCTGTCCCCCTTCCTGGCCTTTAGTAACGGCTGCTCGGCACTTTTTTTTTCTTAAGCATTTAACGTTACATACCTAACATTTTTGTCTCCCACAGATTGCTTAAACCAGATAAGTAAAAATATTAAGATTTATAGGTCAAAACAAATGATGGCATTGAGAAGTAGGGATCATAGGAAGTAAAAACAGCAACAAAAAAAATTAAGGTTCTGTCAATTATTTGCTCCTACTTCACAGTTTTAACATTTGAAAAGTGACACCACTCAATTTTCATGACAGGAACTTAAATAATTTCTAGTTTGATTTATTTTTAATGCTAAAGCTCTACAGTGGTCCTGCTCTATCAACAAATAATGTTAGTACATTTAAGCTGGAACGGTCTCCTGTTGTGATCTGTGTTACAGCGGCGTGGAGAAGCCTCTGATTAAAGACAGTTGTAGGACAGTTATGAAGAGGATGTTCAGGGTGTTCCATATTTTCTTCATATTATGAAGAAAATATGGAACACCCTGAACACCCTGGAAGAGCTTTATATATATATATATATATATATATATATATATATATACAACCATCTTGAGAAGATCTAGAGGAGTTCCCGGAACAGAACTGTTCTTCTTATAACAGTAATCCAGAATTTCAAATTATTAATAAAAAAAAAAAAAAATCTAATTTGGATTAATTAAACATTCTCAACGGTTAAGACTTGTGAGTTCTGCATCAAAACTCTGTAATTTAAATTAATTATAGACTAAAAAGTTTAATTATTAGTAGTGTTGCGCCAATGCCATTTTTTGGCGATACCGATACCTGGGTGTGCAGTATCGGCCAATACCGATACCATCTATTTGAATTGATGTGTGTGTGTGTGTGTGTGTGTATTTGAACAACTGCATACTACTTGGATGTAAAATAATTGCCATCATGGCTTTGTCAAGCTGCTGCCTACCTTTGTGAAGCAGGAAAAATATTAATACAAAGTGAATCCAGTAGAACTTTTTATTGCTTATCTGCATACCGGTACCACCATTTTTGTGCTGGATAGGGCCCCCTCTGATACTGGTGTCGGTGCAACAGTAATTATTGTTTTTCTTAAACAATTACGGATGTTTTATCAGTCTAAGCAGCTTGCAAACGATTTCATGCTATATAAGAAACAGTTCCTATTTTCTAATTGGGGCAGATATAAGTTTTTTACTTCTTTTTGCTCCTTTACTTTAATTCATGATTTCAGTTTTCATCTGCACAGATTTTGTTATGTTGTGTTCTTTTAATGAAAGAAGGAATCAAGAATTAAAAAAGTGTATGTGCTCATCTATTAAAAACATTCATTTTTAACAAATGTGGAAACCAAACTGCTGTTGTATACTCACTGATGGTAACATGTCTCTTTATACAGACAGGTCATTTTGTACCTGCTTACTCTTTTAACCAATACATACAAACCTTTTACTTTTTTATTTGTTTCGTTTGGTTTAAAAGTTTCTGTTTATTTGAACTACACTAAATTTGGAAAAAATCTATTTGGTCCCTATGATGTAAAAATTCCCACTGATGTCTCTCCAAACTGGAACATCGAATCGAACATGGCTGCCATATACATTTGTACTGTCTGAAATGCAGGCTGTATTTAAACTATATCTCTGTACATATTGCTCTGCAAAAAGCTCTGAACACCTGATTGATATGTCTCTTCAAGAATTATGAATTGAAAAAATAATATACTTAGTTTTTTCTTCTTTTCAGCGCAGTGCTATTAACTATAAAAAATGTATTGTTAAACTAAAGATGTTCTTAAAACAGGCCAAAGTTAATGAACTTTATGTCTCAGCATCTCTTAATATCTACAATCACTTTTAAATCATCTCTGTTGTGAAACTGACATTGGTCCAAGTATGAAAGTGAATTTTGGCATAATGTATTCCTTCATATTTACATCCTTTTTTTCTCCACCTGATATATAGAATAGCTGCAAAACAAGCAATCTTTCTCTGGAGGATCATCTCCATGTAAAAACTATCTGCACCCAGCTTTATACCCGTTAGGTACAGGTTTTGATTTTATTGTGTTTTTGAAAGTGAGCCTCTATTTGTAACATAATGGGACGGATAGAAACCTTTCTGAGACTAATGATTAATTACTTACATTAAGACTAAAGTAGACAGCTCCCTTTTTTGTAGGAGGGACTTAATGATTGCTGATTTTAGATTTTAAATTGACTTGATCCTCTCACTGACATAATTATCATGATTGCGGTTTGCATTACTAAGAGCCGTCTCGGTGCCAGTCTATAGAGTTAATAATCCTTACCTTAATTGAAAGATTTCTTAAGGCTTGACAGATTAAAAGTGATACAGTCTATCGACCTTTTCTGTTATACTTTTAACTTCCTGTTATCAGCTTACATCTCTGGCATAGCGAGCCTTAAAAAAACCATTTCCTTTTAACAAGCATTTTACACATCTGTATCGTCTGACTTTTAAAAATCCTTATTTAAAACATAAGAAACATTTACAGTTTGAGTTTAAATCACCCCAACTATTATTTGAACTGGAATATGAATTAATGTACCATAAAAGTCGACAAACAAAATCCCTCATGGTTTGTTTATATTTGAGACAGCGAGACTAAGGAGGGAAAAAAAATACTGTTTATGGTAGGAAATATTAGTATGGATTAACAAAGGAGCAAACCTGGAGGTTTCTAGAAGGAAAACATAGCAGGGTCATGTATACACATCCAGAATAACTACGATGAGCTGCTTTGTTCCTGTTATCGATGCGTTTTTCCACACAGACACACTTGGTCTTAAAAACCTGATGAGCTGCTTTTTAAAAAAAAATATAAAGTAATCAAGACGTATCGGTTCTCCAAGCTGCAGTAATCCAGGAGTGTAATCACAATGCCTGTTAATTTGGATTCTCCTGTTCTCATTGTGTGCAGAGGTAACCTATTTAACTGAGCCCTAAGGACAAAGCAGCGGAGACAATACTCCTTTATAGTGACAGGATACAGGGGTCAGGAAGAGTGCAGACTGTCTCTGTAAACTGGATGATTTCTTTTTTCTTGTTACCTTTTATTTTCTCCTATATGAACAGGCTCTATAAGCACATGGCCGTTGGAAGCACTGGTGTTTTTCCTAAATTATGTTTCCTCCTCCAACTGCTTACCGACCCTTCATATAGGCAAGTGTAGACTAGCCAACGTTGATTTATGATGGGGGTTTGACACGTCATGGGTTGCACCTGTCATTTCCTTTACCTTATTCCTGAGAGAGATAAAAACTTAATGTATCTCCTGCTCAGGATTCCTTTAGTATTCATTGCTCTTAGCCCTTTGCTGCCATAATGGCATAACAATTTTTAAACCTCGTCTAAAAAGTTCCTGAATATATACATATATTAGAGAAGAAATTTTATATTCTGTCTCACATTTGTTTAAGTTTTATTGGGACAAAAGCGAACACTTTGATCCAATGTAAAGTAGTCAGCTTGCTGCTTTTACCACAGTTATCTTTGTGCTGCTTGTCTGGTTGACACCATCTGAACATAAGGAGTTGATCTGGATCTCATCAGACTTTGTTTCACTGATCTATGTCCTAAACTTCCTTCTTGAACTTCCTTTCTTTTACATCCTTTTTAAAAGAGGCTTCTGCCTTGAATGCAGTGTATGGTACAAGCACTGACAGGCTGATATCCCCCCTTCAACCTCTGCAGAAATGCTGGCAGGACTCCTATGGCTATTTTTAAAAGGAAACCTCTTGATATGGTGCTGAGCATGTGGAATCAAGTTCTTGGGTTGTCGTGCCTAACTGGTACCAGTACCATAAGTAACCTGGCTGTTGCCGTGGTGAACAGTAATATTAAAGGGAGAAATGAAAACCCAAAATCTGTGATTCATAGTATATAGGATTAGGGCTGAAACAGTTCCTTGGATTAATCGTGATTAATTGATTAGCAGGACATTTGCTAAATCTACTAGCTTTACACATCTAAACTGAAATATCTGCTGATTTAAAAAAAAAAAAGGTTTCTGCTGGATAAGATAAAGCATCTGAGAACAAGTTCCTCCACTTTTTCCCTTTTACTATATGTGGATTGTTTTAAATAATCTAAGTAAGGTGTGTGAACGAAGGGAAACGCCCAAAACATGCTGGACATTTGGGCCCCGAGGACCTGGGTGGAGAAACACGTGGCTCTGTCCTCAATTTGTCTCTCTATAAACTCTCACCAGCTTCCTCGACCCTACTAAAAAAAGCATCCCCACATCATGGTGCTGCCACTACCATGTTTCATTGTTGGGATTATGTTAGCATGGCTGTCTTTCATAATAGAATGACCGCAGCATACTTTTTCAAACATTTGTCTGGTCCTCTGTTTACTCTTGGAGTCTTGAAGGTCTGCTGGATTTTGTTTTTAGGAGTGGTTTAAAAAAAAGAACAGAATTTTTTTTTGATTTTCTTTTTAAATTCCTGATTTTTCTTTCCACTGTGATATTGTGCACTTTGTTTCTGTTTTACTACCAATAAAATACACAGAATGTGGCAAAGAAAAAAACTCTAGGTTTGTGCATAGTTTGCTAGGCTCTATAGATGACTGCATGGGGACAAAGAGATGGAAACAGAACAAAGGATTGTAACTTAAGGATATAAAAGGATCAAAATGACTTTGCGTTAGGAGATAATGAGATGGGAGTGTAAGCTCTGTTGGAAACAATATCAGCAATGCAATGAGGTTTAAATTGAGGAATGTGAGGGCGAAGTAGAAAAAGATAAGAAGAGGCAGGAGTGGATGCAGCTAATCTTAATCTGGGAACATTTCATCTTTGAGGTATATTGCACACTCTTTCTCTTCCTGTACTGAGGTGGAGCGAGGCAGCTGCAGTGCAGAAGAGCAGCAACATGTTTAGTAAACAACATGCTCACGCGAAACCACTCTATCAGTCTCTTAGACATGATTACAGTGTAGACTTGTTTTACCACCATTTTAAGTTGTGTAAGGATTATTTTTTGTGTAAAAAGAGGTTGTATCTCCTTTTGTCGGCTTAAACAGCTTTGGTGGAAACTAGTTAACGTCCTTTGTGGCAGAATAAGTCAGCAGCATGGTTTCTGTTATGTTTCAACACAATAATGGGGTAAACCTGCGGAGGTGTGCATACAATGAGCTTGCACCACGCTTTGATACAGGCTTGTGTTTCTCTTTGTCATATCCTCTCTTTCTTCTTTCCCTTTTTGTTTTTCTTATGTGTGAAATCTACTCAGACCTGCTCTTTAATGCCTGTCTGATCACATGAATACTGCTGACATACAAAAAGGCCACAGATTTCCGGACTGCAAACTGTTGTTGCGTTCATTTCAGGCATTCAAATGACAGTTAATTAATTGACACTGTGCTCTCCCCTTTGGCAGCCTGACCTCTTGAACTTCAAAAAGGGATGGATGTCAAAGCTGGACGACTGTGGAGAGGTTAGCTGTTCCTCTTTGATTGTCTTTAATGGAGGAGTTAATGGTTTCTGTTAGGAATTAGCACGTATAACAAATTTGATTTTTATTTGACTGCAGCAGTTCTTGGTCACTGGTTCTTCATTCTCAGTTGATCCTGTTATGTTTTTCTCTGTTTAGTGGAAAAAACACTGGTTTGTTTTGACTGATGCTGGACTGAAATATTACAGAGACTCCAATGCAGAAGAGGTAAGGTTTTTTTCTCCATTATAATGTTTTTATTAGTGATTGATCTGTACCTCAGTCGGCCAATATTTTCAGTCGTTACATGCATGCATTCACCGATTCACTGCATTAGACAGCCATGCCTTAAGATCCTGTAAGGTGAATGGACTGCTGCTCCCTCCATTAGCTGACATATTTTCCTTAATTAATTGATAAGAATTTATTGTTGTTGAAATTTGGGCTCGTGTAACATTTGTTATAATTGTGTCATTTGTTATGTTATTATATAAATGGAGGAAAAGAAAGCCATATCAGCCTTAATAGTGGATCGGTTAGACTGATCTCTGAATCGGAAGAAAATATGTATTAGTTGATCTCTAGCTTTTATAACAGCTGCAAATGTTTTCCATGAGTGTTTGAGAGCAAACAGACCTGATTAATGTATCTAAATAAATTTTTTCCCTGCACAGAAAGATGACCTGGATGGAGAGATTGATCTGAAATCTTGCATGAAGGTGTCAGAGTTCGATGTGGAGAAGAACTATGGCTTTCAGATACAGGTGAAGATTTCTATATTTTATTCTTAATCAATTCATCTGATTCATTGTGATTAATCAACTAATTAGATATTCGATATCATTAACTGTACTATAAAGACTTCTAACAAATGTAATTAGCTTAAAAGGCAATGACCTCAGAGAATTAATTTTGGCAAATTAGTAATAAATATATAAACATTTTGTATTTCAGATTAAAAACACTTTTGCCTGTGGAGCTCTGTCTAGAACCCCTTAATTGGCAAAGCTTCACCTTTTAGCTTCACCTTATTTATATTATCTATAAAATCCAATTATTTATGGTTTAATTCAAAAAATAATTGACAGATTAATTAATCATTTATCAAAATAATTGCTCGTTGCAGTCCTAATTCTTATCTTAGCACACATCTTGTCTGGTCTCTAAGCTTTTATTGTTTTCGTCCCACTACTGTTATTTATTCTTTCTATTTTTTGTCATGGTGCAACAGACACGGGAGGCTGTTTTCACGCTATCTGCCATGACAGCTGGGATCAGGCGAAACTGGATAGAGGTTTTAAAGAAGAGTATCCGTCCCAGCAGCTCTCCTGACCTCACACAGTAAGTTCAACCAAAAGTGCTAAAGAAAATAACGGTTCATTTTTTTTTCAACTTGGGGAGCCATTTTTCATATAAATATTTCTAATGTCTTGTAACCTAAATAGCTCATAATGGAGCAAATATAGAATCAGTAGAGTCTAATACAAAGTGTCCTCGACCATTTTTCTCAATTAATGACAATTCTAAACTGTATCAAAAAAACTTAAAATAGTGTTTTGGTTTTATAACTACAAAATAACTTGTGTACAAGGCCAAATAAATGAATGAATCCAACCCTAATTGGTTTTACACAAATGTGGCCTTTGTCTCTTATACAGGCTAGAACACAATTTACTATATTCAGATTTCTATTATAGGAAATATGTTGCTGTTTTAAAACAACTTTTTATTTTTAGGTTTTAGAAGAAGAAAAACAGAAAACTGTTCATAAAGAGGATACATGGATTATTTTCTATAGAATATTAAGATATACTTTTGAAGCTAATTAGTGAAATAGATCAAAATATATATTTTTGTGGCATTCTAAAGCTTCTAAGACTGGTATTTATTATACTTTATGTACTTTACAACCATTTGTTAGCTCTTCATTCTTAAGGGCAGATTATACTTCTGCAATCGCACACATCAAATGTTGCTTGGGTCTGGTCGCGAACCAGTTTTGCTGGTATGCTTCTGCACCGTGGGTCTGGAATTTCTAGGGCTGCACAGCGGTTTCCCACCAAAGGGCTAGGGGGAGCCTATTCGAGAACTCGCGAGAACTTTGGCGGCGCCGGTGGGAGTGTTTATCTTCCAAAACAACATTGGCGTGTCTGCAAGACTGCACGGTCACGGAAATGTATCTAGAGTTGCTAGACATCGAAGAGGATATATTTATTTATATAATTTGTCTGAATCATAGTACAAGTGGTTATACTTCTGAACCTCTTTGATGAACCTTTCGTCGTAGTTGTCAATTGTTCCTCGGTTTTTAAAATCTACGTGCCCCGGCACCGAATCTAGAAGGACAACCACACAGACAGCCAGAAAGGCATAACAAGCACCAATCACAGCTGCTTTTTGTTTGAGCGGGTTTGTGGCCGTCCGACGTGTATTCAGGCTTTTTTGACCATGCCCCCCCTCTGAGGGGGGCATGGTCAGAGACAGATTTTACGGTTGCAGAGGCATAAAGTGGCTTTTAGCCACTTTTAAAAGCCACTATAGAGGGACCAAAGAGCCACTTTAGGCCCCAGAGCCGCAGGTTGCGGACCCCTGGGCAAGAGGAAAGTTAAATATTCATGTGAAGGAATGGCCAAGGCAAAGCTGAGGTCTATATCCAGCTAAAAATATATCAGACCTTTTTTCAGTGGTTCTCAAGCTTACAGTCAGACTGAGCTTTTTATTTTGTAAAGAAGAATCGGCCAGAATGCCTGTAGATGTGCAAAGCTGGTTCAGATCAAACCCTAAAAGTTGATGCTAAACGTTTCTACAGGAGTACTGACTACAAATGTATGTCACACTTTTCGGGTTTTTACTTGTAAAATAAAATTAAACTAACTCATTCTAGTGCTTTGTAGATGGTAGAATATGTCGTTTGTGGTTGTAGTATGACAAAATGTTATGTTTGAGGGGTATGAATACTTTTTCCCCCATCAGATTCTTTTTAAAACTAACTTTGTAGGAACAAAAATAAAGAATATCATATTTAGCTATTTTGTTTTCATAATTTTTTTCTTCCATTAGATTACCTGACAACAACAGCGACAAAGAAAACTCCCATAAACGGTTCTTGTCGTCTTCCCGTCGCCCATCATCACGCCATGTCGACTCCCACTCAGAGGCTCCAGGCTCGGCCCATCAAGCTGAACGAAAAATCGACTATGTAGAACTCTCTCCTGTTCCCGCCTCTTCTGGCCTTCTTCCAACCAGTCAGAGAGAAGCAGGGGAGGGCCAGGGGCGAGAGCACAGCCAATGGCAGGAGGAGAAGAGCATGAGCAGCCAGTGGGAAGCCGTTCTGTCCCGGAAGGGAACGGGTGTGGGATCGAACCAGAGGCTACACCTGGAGGATGAAATCGAGAAAAGGTGGTCCGAGTTTGAACGAATGCCTTTAAGGGACATGAGCTCCTTATCATCGATGGGATCGAGGACCTCTAGCCCGTTGGCCAACGAGGCGCTGCAGAGGGAGGTAGTGTGTGGAGATGATTCTGTAATTTGCAAAGATATTAAAATGCAAATTAACCCTTCATCTACATGGATGAAGCAATTCTTTTTCCAGCTTGTGACAATTTGTCCTTCTTTCTGACTAGTACGTTAATTTCAGTGATTTCCACCCAAATATTGAGCATTGCATGAGCTGATAGATGAATTTAGAACTTTTGTGAGAAGTTTAAAAAAAATTATGGTGGAAAATCCTCCTATAGAGCCCATCTGCTCTGGTGTGGTGTGCTGTGTTGTGATTCTTAGCAGAATTCTTTATTCGCATCACTCAGACATGCAACTGTCTGCATGAGAGATGCAAACAGCTGTGGATCAGTTGGCTTTACCTCCGCCGTTATCTTCTCAGGTGGCGTCACTGAGGCAACAGCTGGACCAACTGCAACAGGGGGGAGGAGGGGGGTGGGGGAAAAGCATGCGTGTCAACTGCGGCCCTGAGGCACCCTGCAGCCGCAGCCTGGCAGCCATGGAGCGCGCTCATAGACATGCCCTGGAGGAGCTGCAGAGGCAGCATGACCGCCAGATGAGGGAACTGGAGAAGGAGAAGGAGCGACTGCTGATGGAGGAGACCAGGGACACGGCAAGGGGTCAGTCAATCAAAAACAACTGAAATTTTTAAAGGTTCAATTAGGTAACATTTTAAATAAAAACGGTGAAATATCACAATTTTAACTTTAAATACAATGATTGTATTCAGAATTATTGCAGGTGAAGCTGAAAGAGTTTGTTTTTAAGTACAGCTTTTCTATGTATTTCTAATAATTGGTAACTTAAGTTAGCTGTAACTTATTTATAAATAAAGTAAATGTATATATTTCAGCTCAGTGAAAACTTACTGTATTCTAACACTGCCTTTCTTTGCAGCAACTTAGAATGAGATCTAAAACTGATAATCACTTATTTAGAGACATAGAGCTGCTTGATTGGGGGGAAAAAAGGCTGTATTATAAATCTTCTTCCCTAAATGAGTATGAAGGTTTGAAAAAGCAAACAGATATTTTTCTCAAACACTGGTTCATAGGTAGACTAAATGTTCTGTAAATATTTAGGGTCTAAAGTAGGGCTGTAATTAATGATTATTTTGCAAATAATGTTTTTGATTAAGCAATTAATTGTCAGATAGCAAAGGGTTCCTTAAAGAAGACTTTTTGCTAAACTAAACCTTCCTGCAAAATTCTGGATAGAGCATACTGACAGACGAAAAAATATTTTTATCTTAAATGCAAAATGTTTTCACATTTTTTCTTACAATTTTGGTAGAATTGCTGCTCAAGGTGGGTCACTCCATCAGCCAAAGGCACATTTTAGAGTCTACACCAGTAAACAATTAATCGATTACAAACTGAGTCGACGATTATTTCAATAATAGATCAATTGTTTCAGTCCTAGTCTAAAGGATATTTTATATTCGGCATATTATGCATGCAACAGTTGTACGTCGCAGCTGTTTGCAACTTTGTAAGACTGAAATGTTTCCCATAATGGGTTCATTTCAGGCACATTGATGAAGACAATTCTAATCCTTTCAAGCTTTAATCTAAACCATTGTTGCAGCGCTGCTTGTCTTTGTATGGTTATTGTTAACCTCCACCCTAGTCTTGATCTTTGCAGCCTCAAACAGGTTTTTCTATTTTTTTATTTTATTTATTTTTTTGCTGCATGCTGACTTCTAAAACCATTTGGTTCTTGTTGTCTATATTATAATTTTGGAGCTTTTGAAAGAGAAGTAATGTTAAATGCAAATATGTGGCACACTTCTTAAATTAATTTGTGTAGAAATAAAAAATGAAAAAAATCCCAGTTTTTATTAATTCCACTTTAAAAAGCCTGAATCTAAAGGCTGAATCTTCACTGGGCTTTGGTAACAAAGTTTCATTTATTAGACGTGTTGGAGAAAGAGATGCAGCTAAAACCTGCAGTATAGTAGCTCTGGAGGACTGCAGTTGGACACAAATGGACATGGCATCCTATTAAAACACATTAACGTTTGCAGCTGAGCTGTTTAAATGACCTTGTAAAAAAATTTAAACAGCTGAATGAGTTAAATGTATCTTTATTTTTGCAATGTGTATAATAGGGCTGCAGATATAGAATACCTTATACCTGATTCATCTTTAGATTATTCTCTTAATAAATACCTTTAGCAAACTAGCATTACTAACTATTTAACATTTTGAAAAAAGGGCTTTTTAAATGTATTGTGAGTTGCAAATATATACAAAGCATTTTAACTTTGTGTCTATAATAAAAGCATAATGTTCTAGACCATGTCAAATAATTTAATTAGATTGTTAATGATAATTGTGGAATTTTAGTCGTGAAATGTTGGTGGCCATGAAGATCCCAATGACATTTATGTTTGTGTTTCAGTGATGGAAGCTTTGAAGAAGAAACACAAAGAAGAGCTGGAGAGAGAGGTGGAGAAGGTCAAGAGGCTGAGCAGTGGGTTAGACCCTCGGACTCTGCAATCCCAACAACAGTAAGATATTTTCAATTACCTCCTTCTAATGAGAGAGAAGCACACTTTGCTTCCCCTCTGGTTACATTAAATGGCATTTCGGCATAATTACATCATTATTATTGTATTTGCTCCTGTCCTTGTAGTTGTATTGCGAAACCGTGTGACCACCTCTGTCCTGCTCTTAAGTGGGAGCTGGTTGGCCACAACAATTTTTGTGTGAAGTAAAGCTGAACTTGCAGAAAGCACAACGTCCCTCCTTGTTAAAGCAAAGCCATTAATAAAGCAGCCACTGGGCTCTGTTAGGCTCCCGAGGAATGTGGAAGAATTTAGTCATGGATAAGATTTTCCTAGCAGTCTTCAAGATGCCCTTTCACTTAGATTGTCTCAGTAGTGGTTCCTGTAATGTGGGGCTTATCTGTTTTAACTGCTGGACTTTTTTTTTTTTTTTTTTTTATCATTGCATGCTCTTCCTCTTTTTGTGGGTATTGATTGCAAGATGCAAAGATGTTTAGTATGTTTAGTATCTACTACAGGAAATACTTGAGGGACAACAGAAATGGTTCCTAAAGCAGATGATTCCTTTGCCCTAATTGATTTAGTGGAATCAGAAAGCAGGATCTTGGATCCTATTTCAGAAGGATTTCTTATTTAATAGGGTCAGTTTCTGTTGTGAATAAAACGTTTTATGTGACCTTTTCTCTCTTTTATGCAGGGCTGAAACTCAAGCCTTGCAGAAAGAGCTGGCTGGCCTCTCTGAGCACTATTCTCAGAAGTGTCTGGAGCTCAACAGAGCTGAGCAGAGAAACGCTGAGAGAGAACGGGAAGTGGGTCAAAAAGAGAGAGACATGGAGCAGCTGAGGAAAGAGAACCTGGTGAGTTAGCAGCTGATTGGGATAAAGGGATCAGCTGTACGGCAAAGGTGAAACTAAAATGTTTCCTTCTCTTTCTAACGCTTCCTCTGTGCAACACTGACACAAGGAGAAGGGTGAGAAGTGTGTCGCAAAAGTTTTCACATCTCTTATGAAAAATATTGGTTTAAACAAACACAAAGTAGTGTAATTGAAGGCTCTGGATTATCAAACCATTTCCTGAATTCATCCCTTTTATTCTGATTTACTAAATATGACCAGTTAAACCATTACCTTTAGAGGTCTTATTATTATTGAAGAGAGTCCATCTGTTCATAATGCAATGTAATCTCACCATCAGTGAAATTGCTCTGTAAAGCCATCAGAGGTTTGTTTGGGAACTTGAGTGATTAAATGCCTTAATGAAGACGAAGGAGCACAGGAGGCAGCTCAGGGATGAAGTTCTGGAGAAGCAGGTTAAGTTATAAGATGGCATCGTTACAGAGAACTGCTCCACCCATCGTCAAAGAGGAGTGTGGCACAACTGCTAACCCACATAGCCTTTGGTGTCCACCTAAACAGATAGACTGGTTAATGAGAGAGTTCATCACTGAAGCAGCCAAGTGGCCCACAGTGTCTCTAGAGAGATTGGAGAACTATAGTTATTACTGACTGTTTATCGTCATGGTGCTGATAGATGGAGCTAGCTATGAGGCAGTTTAGCAGAAAACCTGGTAGAGGCTGAAAGCAGACTGGGATGCAAGTTAATATTCCAGCAAAAGGACGACTCTAACTGCCCTTTTATTGTTTATGGGAATTTGCTAAAGAGGCTGAAGTCAGCAGAGACAAGTGATGCTAGGAAGAGTGTCAGAAAAATTTGGATTAATTGTAATTCAGTTTTTTAACACTCGTAGCACAGACAGTCATGTTTTTCTTAATGTTTTGCTGCTTAAGTTCAAATAAAAATACTCATCAAATTATTCAGATTTACATTTATAAAGATAAAAGAGAAACCATTTGTTTTCTTTCAATTCACGGAGATGTACTACTTTGTGTTTGTCTTTTTGATAAAATCCTAATAAATTCCTTGAAGTTTGTGGTTGTGAAATGTTAAAATATAAAAACATTCAAGTGTATGAATATTTTTGTAAGTCACAGTAATCTGCAGCTCAGTCCCAAAACATAAAAAATGTGAAAACGATGTCAAGGACTCTGATATAAGAATAATTAATTTGAAGCATTTTGTTCTTCAGGAGTTAAAGGCCCGTTTGACGGACGAAATGAGCCGAACACGATCCAGCCTCACAGATAAAAGCTCAGAAGACAACAAAGACAAGTCCTGCGAACTAGAGGTACTGTTGTTTATGATACTGAAAGTAGATGGAGTTTATTTTCTGTGCATCATCACCACTGGCAGCTAAGCTCTTCATGTGGTCTGCAAGTGTGAAAATGTTAGCAACCGCTCACACTACATCAACACTAACTTTCATCTGTTGGTTAGATGATTAGTAAACTATGTGCAAAAGTCAAAGATGCTTCCTGTGTGGATTCCATTACTTTAAAGGTGTTATGCCCACAAATATACCATTTGCAATTACGTTTCTTAATGACATTTCTGTTGTTAGATAGAAAATATGAAAAACTTGCTTTGTAGTTTGCTATCTAATAAGCAACTTAATGTTAGCTGCAACAGTCCACATGTTGAGCTAAATTTAATTTGAATTTTGGGTTTAACTTTCTTCTTCAAATGTATAAGCATGGTGGCATCAACTAGCATCCCAGTCAGTCCACCCTTTCTGCATTATAATGCATTCTAGGAGTGCAGCATAATGCTGCCGCCTCCATGCTTGAAAGTTACTACAGTCTGCTTCGGTTTGAAACACCTTGACCTCATGACCGTACTTATTTCCATTGTGGCTACAGCATAAAAACCTCAGCAGCAAGTGTTTGTTCTGGAAGAAGTTAGATTTTGATCATGCTTTCTATCTTGATCAGTCCGTGTTGATGTTTCGTTTATTATAGAGTTGACAGTGACTCTGGCATTCAAACATTGTGGTGTTTTGAGCCAAATGGAGGAAAATGGGAGACAGTTAGGTTTTTCAGTGATCACAGGCAAACATCCAGGAGATGGTTAATGCAGGATAACAATGGGACAATTAAAGTGGTGTGTGTTCCACTTACTAAGTAAGACAGTTATCTAAATACGAGCTGGAGCTGAAAGAATCCATGGTGATTAATGGATTATAAAAATGATTGTTAGCTAATATAATATTTGAGTTGTCAAACATAATATACAGACTTTAAAACATGCTATTTACTCAAAGAGTCGGCAATTAAAATTAATAATTTGGGCAAAACTGTGCAAATAATGCAAAAACAGTTTTCATGATGTCTTTGTCTGTAATGATGCTCTATCCAGAACTCCAGAGACCAGGTTATTAATCTGTCAATCCAAAATTCAGCCAAAGAATGAATAAATTAGCAAAATCTTTCACCGTTTATTGCAAGCTTGTAAGCATCAATTTGGGTTAGTTTTTTATTTTTTTTATTTTTTGCCATTTATAATTAATTTAACATGTGAAATATTTCTTTTTTCTAATTTTAAAATGTTTCTTTACTGAAAATGCTGTGTGTTTTTTTAGATTAATTCTTTTAAATAATAATTTATCATTGCAGCCCTATTGTAGGCATATTTCTGCATTTAAGAATGTATGTTTAAGTTTCATCCACTTGTAACAAAAAAAACACTTGGCATGATCCCTCAACCATCATGGTAGATATGGCAGAGTGTTTATAGGTTTGAAAGTTTGACCTGGACTCCTGAAAACACACCTTTCATCATCGTGGCCAAATAGGTCAATATTTTTCTTTCCTTTTTTTTTTTTTTAAAGATTGTTGTCTTTTAATCATAATAATTAGAATTTAAATTGGCAGAGAAAGGAGGGATGTGCGGCAGGTAATAGAGCCCTTGATAGCTGGATGAGAGACCATTAGATTAGATTAGATTAGATGAGCTTTATTGATCTCACAGCGGATAAATTCACTCGTCACATATTGGCATAGAAGTTACAGCAGGTGCAAACCAGGAGGAAAAAGGTGCATTAAGAATAAGCAATATATATATATACAGTATATCAAGATAAATAAGAATTAAGGTGCAAGTGTACATGTATCGCACACAATGAAAAACAAAATAGAAATAAGAAATATAAAAATATGTACAATCCGGATGGCTTATATTCAGGTGGATTTGTCCCTTCAATTCAGTGAGATAATTGCTCTTCTGTGAAACTCTATCAGCATTTTCTGGTTCACATAGGCTTCTACCAGGATCGTCATCAACATCCTACTCAGTTCCCTTTCCGCTGAGGTGCCTATTTGCTAAACAAACTACGGAGATAGTTGGGATTTGCAGCAGAGCGATGAACCTAAAAAACACCAAAACTTCGACCCTGATGGAAAATGATTTTCTCCAAATGAAATCCAATTCTGTGCCAGGAAAACCAACACTTTGTTAATTCCAGATCCTCACACATGCCTGCAGATCTATAACAGGACATTGTTTGTGGCTATAAAAAGCATGAGGTTCACTGCAACACGGCATTTATTCAAATATTTGTGAGGGTGAGTGTTGTATTTCATCTCCTATGGATGATTTTTGAACCTGTGTGGATTCAAAATCTCCAGCAAAATAGTTCTCATTTTTTAAACTATAAAGTGGATGATTAATTAACCCAGGAAAGCTTTCAAATGGAACACAACACTCCTGATGATAAGTGTATGTCAGTCTGTGACCAGAGTTGTTGATGTCTACATACTTTCTGATTCCTGTCTGGTTATGTTTTTGTAGAAACTGAAAACAACTTTGTCTTTTCTTTTCTCCTCAGGTTCTTCTCAGAATGAAAAATAACGAGATAGAGTATCTGCACAAGGAGATCAGCTGCCTTAGGAATGAGCTGCAATTTCTAACCAGGGTACTGCGCCGTGATTTCTGTCACAAATACTGTTTGTTTTGTCTTGATGTTGGAGGATGTTAAACCTGATGTCTGTAAACACAGTCCCAGAGAGAGAGGTAGCCTGTAATTTGCTGAGCATGAGTCTGTTGTGTCAGGGATGTAATATTACCCTGTTACAGCCTGAGGGCTTTCTCTAGTTGTTGTGGAAGATGAAGGTGTTTTTCCTCTCTGCTTGTTCTACAGGAAAAGCAGCTGGCCTGTGAGCGGTACGCAGAGGTGCACGGAGAGCTGAGCGGGATGAAAGGCCGTACGGAGCGGGAGATTCAGAGTCTAAAGGAGCACTTAAGGCTAGCAATGGCTGCTCTACAAGAGGGACAAAAGCTAGGGAACAGCCTGGACCACTGACGAGCCGCTGCGGCACGGCTTGGAGCACAACCAGAATTCAAGCAGAGGATAATTCTGAGTCTCTTTAGAGATTTTGGAAAAAAAACAGGTGTCATTTAAAATATTTCAGGCTTTTCTTTGTTCCCAGAGCTTTGCTCTCCAGGCTGCTGGCGACTGGACTGTACAGGAACTTTCCAGCTTTGTCTGAACTGTAACGTGTCTTTCAACCAAATTCCCAAGAATTGGTCGGTTTCATTACACTGGGCCTCATGTTGTATGATCATGTGCACATTTCACTTTCTGTTTCGCTTTTTGAAAGTTCAAGCTTGTAGCGACTCGCATTTGGTCTTAAAACTGGAATATCCACTTTTTTTTTTTTTTTTTTACTGGCCCCTGCCAGTAGTTTATTGTCTAAGCTTTATCTTTAGATACATTCTGTTATGTTTGTCTCATTGCTCAGCTTTTTCTGTTGGCTTTGTCAAAGTGGCACACTTTCTTCAGAAATGGGAGCTTTGTATTTGTTTTTTTATTCCGTCTGCAATTTTTTTTTTTTTTTTTTAATCATGGAAAATTCATTGGGATTCTGACATGACTAAGCAGCATGAGTTGTACTTCCTCGCAGACTTGATGGGTGATTTGGATCTGATTGTTAAACAGATTCAGGCCTTTCTGGTTTTCCATTGACTGTAAACGCTGTTGTATGATTGTTTCCCTTCATAAGGTCCATGTATTGTTAAGCCACTGAGGAAAATCCCTCAGGCTTCTTGATTTCAAGGATCATTTATGGGCATATTCTGCTATGTGCCACCATCACAACAAAGGGCAGGTGTTGCATTAATGAGCCATTTTAAAAATATATATTTTTCTTATTGAAAAGAGCGATTGTGAAAAAGAGTAACTACCTACTTTTTGGAAGCATTTTCATATTTAAAGCCTCTAGAGTCTGTAAATTATGCTCATTTTTGCGATCAATAAAGCTACTTCATTACAAAACCTCTTTCTAAACTGTTTCACCTTTCTCCCATTTTATCTCTTAAAACTATTTATAAAAAGAATTGTGTTTTTGCTTTTGAATTTAGCCTCCTCCTTTACTAAATTAAGTTATCAGGATTAATAAACCAGGAAACATGTAAAAGGTTGGATAAAGATGTAGAGAACTTTCTTAATCAGTATGCTAACTCGGGAACATCTCTGAGCACCTAAATGACAGGTGGCGCAAGAAAAGCATGAATCATCCAAAACTGTTAAGGGAACACAGAGCTCCATAACTGGAAAACCGCCTATAAATGTTTTTTTTTTTTATGGTTTTCCACAAGCAGGAAAAGGTGCTGCAACTTCCTAGGACTCAACCAATTTGGGCTACATGTAGAAACTCAACTTTTAACAAGCTAACGCTTTCTGTTCTAAAATACACACCTGAAATGCAATGTGGCAGCATTATGCTGTGGGTATACTCTTACAAATATATAAAAAGAAATTCCAGCATTATTATTCACTGAAAAATAAGAAGTGGAAATCTGGAAAAACTAATACCACCAAAGTGTTATAAAATAGTTTAAGGAACTTGAACTAGGCAGTTTTCTGTGTGGATTAATTTTAGTGCAGCTTTCTCTCATAACATTCAGTTCAATTGGCCTAGCAGATGTTTGATATGTCACAGCTCTCTCCAGGTCCACAGCATTTATTTTAAGCAGAGGTCTAAAATTTAACAAGACCATTATGACTCCTTAAAGGATCTGTCTGATGATCTCAGCTTCTCTTGACTGGAATATGCTTTTTAGCTTTAGGGCAGATGACTGTTAAGTGGGGAAAAGTTTGATGGATAAATTCATGCTTACTCAGTGATTGCAAGTCCTAAGTTTGCTAACAAGTCCCAGTCATCACCTCTCCAGCACCAGTGGTTTGTACAGAAGAATAGTCATTTCTATTCTGGTCAAACATTTCTTCTTTGTTTCCTTCTGTCCAATTGACGCTGTAGTCAAAAGTCCTGTTGAGTAATCAGCTGTAGCTTTATAAACCAAACATTTTTAAAATCTAAAAGCTCATCTAATTATTAACTTGTATTAATCATACTTATGTTTTTAGTTGGATGTTTGGTGCTTTAGTTTTTCCTTTGAAGTTATGGTGATACCTACTCCAAACCATAAGACTTTAACATAATGCCCTTTTGTGACCTGCAGAGAAAATGTCTTTATTGCATTTTCTCCTTTAGTTCAAGTTTCATTTGTGCAGCATTTATTTTTATTTTTTTTGTAATGAAAGAGTTTTTTATTTAAACAATCAAATAAATACAGTACAAAGCTTACATGGTATAAATATGCAGAAAATAAAAGCTTACAGCACACGGTCAGACAATTAAAGTAAATATAAAATTAAAAGGTGCTCCTGGATGATGAATGGGAAAAAAATATATCTAACAGCATATGAAATATATGCGTCTAATACGCACACGTATCTTAACATGAGCATATAAAGTTTTGATGAATATTTTACCAGAAAAACCTAATCTATTCTGACACATGAAGCCATGCCCTTGTAGTGAATATCATCTACCACTAGTGGGCGACAGAGCCTATTTTCTCTTTTTATTAACCTGTGAAACCGGAAACGCTTTCACCAGCATCAGCAACTGTCATGGCTTCCTCTGCTGCTGCCCGCACGGCAGCTGGTGCTGCTAAAGTGGTCAAACCGATTCTTAGTCGGGACTTGGACGAGGCTAAACGCAGAGTTCGGGAGCTGTACCGAGCCTGGTACCGTGAGGTGCCGAATACAGGTATATGGGTCCGCTGTAGCGGGCGGTGAAAGCAACGGCTGCAGCGTCAAGGTCGTTTCTCTGTGGAGGTTTAGATCATCTAAACCCCCCAAAAAACTTTCAAGATTTCAGGACGTGGTGTTCTCCTAAGCTTTAGTGAAACGTCTGTAGTTTCTCGTCTAAATCTTGATGAATTAGATTAGCTGCATGCAGAAACTATAAGGGATATAATTGCGATATGTCGATACAAAGCAGAGCAAAAATACCGAGTGGAAGTTTCAGTAGTTTTCAACTATTAAGAATCAAAAGTCAGCTCTTATTCTGATTTCCTTGCACAGAATCCTATGTAATAAATATATTGCTCTTGAAAATAACACAACTGCAGCTTTCATGTCAAAATCTCATCATGAATGCTGAGGAATTCACAGCAGGATAGGAAGTTTGGACATCTCAAGACAAATATTCAACCCATGATATAGAAATAATAAAAAAAAAATTTTGACATGACTTTGAATATATTAGTTTATGCTGAAGTTACCAAGGTAATAAGGGGTAGATATCCAGGAGATCCTTTATAATTCAAGAGAAGAGCCCACAGTCCAGGAGGGAGCAGGACAGTTAATTTAATCTCTAAATCTGGCAACATAATTAAAAGATGTTTAAAGTTTGCCTCTGGTTTGGTAGAGAATATAGGAAAAATGCAGATGATGTGTGGAAAACTGCTGATCACCATGGATGCTCCCTCCCGATGGTGGAACACGGTGGTGGCAGCATAATGCTCTGGTGATGCTTTTCTTCAGTTGGGACAGAGAAGCTGGACAAACTGCAGGCCTTGATGCTCAAATCTGATTTTTTTGCATTGCTGTTCACATTTCCAGATATGTGATATATGTGATCTCCTGTGTGAACTACAGTCATACAACGCAAGGGTCCCACATGTGCAGTAGAGGACACAATGACATCACAGGCCAGCGTGCTCTGTGTTTATGGAAGTAAACATGGATAGTAGTGCCGGAGCGCATCTAATGATCTTTCCCAACCATAAAAACACAATCTCTTCAAGGTGGTTAAACATAAATACTGCTCTCCGCATCGTCGTCTGCCATAGTTGTTGTTTTTCCTGCCGCTTCTTCATAGCAAAAATAGTGTCCTTTGTGGGGTATTAATGGCGTCAGGAATGCGACCTGGCCGTTTAGACACAGGTCGCATTAGAAAAGATCAGATTCGTATGGGGATCCAGGACCACATAGCCAAGTGGCCTGGGTCGGATTGGAAAAAATCGGATCTGTGTTGTTCAGACTGCCATGAAAAGATCAGATCCAGGTCGCATATGGGCCAAAAAAATCAGATTTGGGTCACTTCAGGCTGCAGTGTGAACCTTATTGGCCTGACGTAGACTCTAAGCATTCAGCCAGCTCTACATAAGCGTGGCTTCATCTATATAGTTGGGAATCTGTAGAAATTGATGTCTGGACCCATTTCATCCAGTGTGAAAGAGACTGAGGTATTATATTTATCAAGAAAATGTTTTTTTTAGAAAAAGCTAATGGAGACGAATGACAAAATATTTGCAGCTAGAATCACAGCAAAATGCTTTTCTCTAAAATACCCAATGATTTTATCTAGGGTTCTTTAGACTGGTCACTGGTTCCTTTAGAGATAAATATCCACAGTCTGATTCTGGTTCATCTGCAAATTGTTTTTACTTAATATCTCTAAAGTACAGGCTGGTAAAATGCCTAGTAATGTTTTCTAGATCACAGATTGTCACTATTACTAGTGGATTTTGTTTGTAAAGTCAAAATGACAGTCAATTAAAAATGACCAAATGTAATAAATTACTGGTATCAAGGTGTCTTTTTTTTCTAAACTTTGTTAAAAGTATCCTAGATATTCTTTTTCTTAAAATCAATGAGGCTGTTATTCCCTTATTAAAACTTAGAGGGCATGCCTGTCTGTCTGCAGTGGCAATATTCCAGTTGGACATCACAACACGCCAGGGCAGAGACAAAGTGAGAGAGATGTTTGACAGAAACAAACACGTCACTGACCCGCGTGTGATCGACATGCTGGTCATTAAGGTAAAGGAGAACCCATCATTGTTTGGATCTGTTGCTGAACCCCCCCCCACCTCGGTGATGTTTGTCACACTGTGTATTGAGGCATGTCTCATTCACTCGGCAGGGTAAAATGGAACTGGAAGAAACGATCCACGTCTGGAAGCAGAAGACCCACGTGATGCGTTACTTTCACGAGACGGAAGAACCTCGAGGGACAGACTTCCTGTCCAAATTCTACAGAGGCCAGGACCCATGAACTGTGTAGCTGAGCTCCAACCCATCTCTGCTCGTTTCCAGTGTGAAAATATGTTTCCCTTTATTGTAAATACACACTTTAACTCCAACATGCTTACACTCGTCTTTTGTCCAGATCCAGTTGTCCGCCTGATTCTGCTTTTATGAAAATATTATTTCTAACGTTTTAAAAAACAACAACTTCTCTTCTTTTGTGTCCAATTTTGTTGATAGTTTTTTTTTTTCAATCTACACAAAATATCCCAAAAAAAAACAACAATCCACTGGACTTTGTTTCCAAGTTTCAAGACATTTTGCTTCCCATCCAGGAAGCTTTTTCAATACAGAATCTCAGGAATTAGCGTTTAAGGTTTTATACAGTAGCTCAACAAAGCCTTGTTTTTGTTTTGAAAACATGAAAATTGGAACAGACAAAGGGGTCGACCCATTTAGAATGGGAGTCAATACCCCATACCCATCTAAGTGTCTGAAAGGTCGGTTCTTAAAGGGGATTGTTGGACTCCAAAGCGAAACGTCTTCAAACTTGGAAACCAAGTCCAGTGGATTGTTTTTTGTTTGTTTTTTTGGAATAACTATGACCTGGATAACTGAGAAGCTTCACCAGCATAAACAAAATATTACATTATACAGTTTAAAAACACTCTAGTAAAAGTTGAAGTATCAACTTGATCTCTTTACTCAAGTAAAAGTGAAAAAGTATGTGCTCTAAGAACTACTTAAAAGTATAAAGTAACCTTTAAAAAAAAAAATCAGCCAGATGCCACTATATGAATTGAAAGCTCAATTTTATGACTTTTGAAAAATTATGAGATAGTGCCAAGGATGAGGGAGGTCTTGTTGGTCTCCATCTCCTGAGACGCTCTCGTCTGTGTCCGACCTTTCAGACATTTCAACGTCTTTTTCTGAATCCGACATTGTAGCATGGCATAGAAAATTCATGTTTGCAGTTTGAAGAACACCTGCTTGCTTCTGATGATTTCCTTTAGCTAACCAATGAGTGTTTGCGTTATAAGACTCATCCAATTACACTAGTTTTCACTAGATGTGGATGGAGCCAATAATCTGCAGTGGATGGAGCACATGATGTGAAATAAATATTTATAAACATTAAACCAAAGCCAAGAGTAACAAGTAATGTTTGTTTTAAAAATGTAAGGAATAGAAAGTATAGATACTTGTGTGAAAATGTAATGAGTGGAAGTCAGAAGTATGAAGAAAAATAAGTAATAGAGTAAAGTATAGATACCTGTACTTAAGTACAGTAACAAAGTACCGTATTTGTACTATGTTACTTGAAACCTCTGTATTGAATACATACATACTTTTAAATGCATGTACTCTGGAATACTTAAGCATTTTCAAAAGTGAGTACTTCAATACTTTAACTTGAGCAGATGTTTGAAAGAAGTAACTTTACTTTTAGTTGAGTAAGATTTGACTATGAGTATTAATACTTTTACTCAAATACTACTGTTGACTACTTCTTCCACCACTGATCCTTGGACATAAAACCAGCATCACTGGATACAGTCAGCGGATTCATTTTCACCATGTCAGTATTTCACATTACTAAAGTTTATCTAAACCATTCATATCAATAAGGCTTCAGTAGAATCCAAAGACACTTGCTATGTTTTTATTAAGACACCTGTAGTGCATGCAGATAAAGTACCATATGAAAATGTGGTGACCGTTTTGTGTCAGCCAAAAATAACAATTAAATCCCTGAAACAAGTGCAAGCAGAGTCACAGCAACAGGACCCCCAAGAAGGCATTTCTTCTACCGTGGTGCTGCTGCTGACAGAAGGTAGCGATCAGAACATCTGCAGAGAACAGGAGATGGAAGAGCTTGTTTAACCCTTTATAGGGCACTCAGTGAAATACCTGGAAAATCAACATCTCAAATGTTATTGGAATCCAGGACAAGACCTTATTAACTTTGTAACATTAAAAAATATAGATATTTTGATGTCAAATATGAATGTCAATGTAATAAGAAATAAAAATAGCCCGAATATATTAAGAAAAATAACAAAAGTGCTTCTATAAGAAATTCATAAAAGAAAGACATTTTTTTGGCGACAACAATAACCTTAGAGGCATTAATGCTGATACTGGCACTTAAATTTTTTTATGTAAAAACCCAAGTATAATTGTTAACTAGGCTTATTAAGTTTTTAACTTTTCTATTTCACTTTATGTTTGTACAAATCCCAAAGTGCTACATAGTAAAACACATGCAGAGCATGAGAAATAAAAAAGTAAAAAAAAAAAGTAGGTAATATATCATTCAAGTACGGAAAAGGATTAGGGCCACTGTTAAAAAAAAAAGTAAACGGCTTTTTAAATTTTATTTCACTACAATATGAGAAAAAAAAGTCAGATTTCTGACTTAAATCTCTGAATTCTGACAGCTTACAAACATGTTAGCATCAAGCAATAGCATGTCAGTTTTAGAGACTAAACTAGCTCTCTTGTTTTAATTACCTTCTGCTCTTCCATTAATGAAATAGCATCACCAGGGACCCCTTGGGAAAGTAAAAAGTCACCTAATTCCATCATTTCGACCAATGTGTCACTGGCCCACTCAAACAACTCACATCTTCGTCAGTGAAGCTGAGTGCTCCCACATCTCTTCCTTCATGGTGCCCATCTGCATTAAGATCCAAAATTCTGAGATTAAAGTCAGAATTCTGGGATTAAAGTCAGAATTCTGAGATTAAAGTTTTTTTTTTTCATAATAAACTAATAAATTTAAAAATCAGCTACGTTTTTTTTCTATTTTTTCAGTGGCCCTAATCCTCTTCCATTTGTAAGTGATCAAAAACGGTAACTTGACCTATGAAGGGTTAAGATCTTACAGAATCAGATTGGGAGAAAAAAACAGATTATCCACCGCACTAAATGGATTATTCTATCGATCATGATCGGATCTATCAGTTACCTGATGAGCCCCTCAGTCATCGTCATCATCGTCCTCCGGGACGAATATGTCGTGCTCCTCCAGCAGCGCCGCAAAGCTCTTGCTGATCTGAGTCCCCACATACAAGAAGGGGATCACTACCAGAGCGATCCGCATCAGGCCGAAGGGGGTCTGCTCCCCGGTGCCACACGTCCCCACCATAAAAACACCTTCATTAGTTTATGACAGCTCTGACACACACTGAAATATAGAACCATTTCTCCCTCTATAGTTCACTCCCCTTTTCTCATAACCGTTTTTCTCTAATGGCACGCCATGTTTTTATCCACAAACACTGCTCTCACCTTCCTGGGTTTGGGCAGAATGGCGCCGCTTGAGGAGCACACGGCTGTCCGGCTCGGTGTCACGGTTCTCCCCGGCATGGCTGAGGGGCTCAGCGGGGAGAGGGGGCTGTTTCTGACAGCTGACAGCTGGAGCAGGCGACCGAGGACAGCCGAGGCCATGTTCACAGTGTTGGGTTTGGATGCGTCGGCAATGCGGAAAAAAAACAAATAATTACGGTTCGAAAACGTTCTTCAGGTGGCAACTCTGCCACCTGGCGTCGGTCATATAAAACTGCACCCTCTTATTTTTTTTTTGTCTTTCTTTTTTTTTGTTTTTTGATGGCAGATGTCAACCGTACGGCGGCGTATTAGGGCCATTCAAAGACGGGAAAAAAACAAACAAAAAACAAATGTACATTTTTGAGTTTAAAGGGGCATTTTTTATGAGTAAACTACAGAAGAGGATTAGGGCCACTTATTTTTAAATTTTATGTCAGTTCAATATGGGAAAAAAGTCCTAATTCGGACTTTGTTCTCAGAATTCTGACTTTTTTTTCTCAGAATTCTGAATTTAATCTCAGAATTCTGACTTATTTTCCCCCATATTAAATTGAAATGAAATAAAAAAGTCAGTTAACTTTTTTTCAGTGGCCCTACTCCTCTTCTGTATCAATCCTCTTCCATAGTAACAAATTTATGAGATTATTAACATGCAAATTTAGAAGGAAAAGTTCCAATGTACGAGAATAGACAGGCAAATTTACAAGAAAAAAAAACATGCAAATTTACAAAATTATAAAGACGCAAATGTAGGGGGAAAAGTAGAAAATTTAAGCGGCTAAAACGCAAATTTACGGAAAAAAAATTGACATTTACGAAATTCTAAGCATGCAAATTTAAAAGAAAAGCGTAGCAGATTTACAAGAATAAAAATGTTAATTTACGAAATATGCATAATTTACAAGATTATAAACAAGCAAATTTATTGTTTCATTCATTTTTACTTTAAAAACTTAAATGAGGCATTGTCTCATTCCATCACTAAAGCCCCCAATTAATGATGCATTTGGATGTGCTTTATGTAGCATACTTTAACATGTATTATATACCTGCATATCTCCACAAATGTACATGTTTAAATCTTGCAAATTTGCTACTTTTTTCTTCTACATTTAATTTGCTACATTTTCTTTTATAGTTGTATGTTTTAATTTCATACATTTGTGTGATTTTACTCATAAATTTGTGTGTTCCTGTAAAAATGCTACTTAAACTGAAAAATGTATATTTATTTATCATTTATTTTGTTCAGCATTCAGCAAATATATATATATATATATATATATATATCTTTGAATGGCCCTAATATGCCTCCATACCACTGTGTCTTTTAGGTGCAGACCTCTACCTACCGCATCGGAGTATGTAACACACGCCGTTCGTTGTGATTACGTAGCTTTTACATAATAATAAAATCCTTTAATATGTTCCTTGAATCACATATCACAGCTTGCTGTGTTTCTGTAATCCCCTCTCCTGGTGTTCCTATTAAATCCTGTTTTATCTTTTGATTTAATCTCATCCTTTCTTCCTATATGTTCTACCTTTTCCGTTACTTTACATTCTAGAAATCCATCTGTTTCACTTTCAGCTCATATGAACAATGGTTTGTTTAACCCAGTGTGATCAAATCTTAATCTAGTCATAATGCTGTCCTCTCTTCAGTTATTTCTAATCACCTTATTTGACATTAAGGGATTTTTGTTTGTTTTACATTATATTTCTACTGCACCATTTGTGGTGTGTTTTATTGTTCATACTTTGGCTTTACTTTTCTGTCCCACATAATTTACTGATGCTTGAAAAACATATTTTGCAACTATGCTTTAATGAGAGGAGAAATGTTGGTTATTCTACAAAAAAAACCATATTTTTGTATTTTTTTTCTTGTTCTGAGCTCAGCGTCTGTTTGCTGAACCTGCGTTGCCTCACTTTTAATCAAGTTGTCCT